CTAAATGAACCACTAATTGGCGATAGAGTTAATTAAACTAGTGCTCACTAAACTTCACTTTAAGTTACTACTTGCTCATCAAAATATAAAATGTTACTCGTTGCTCGCTCAAATTTAAACAAATTTACTTATCCATCACCCATAACATTTTCATCCGTCCACGTGGACAAAAAATCCACTTGCAGGATGAAAAATCCTACTTGGCATCGACATAATTTAGAAAGATCATCACTGGTGCTAGAACACCAATCTAGTTGGTTTCATTGGTTTAATTGAATAAATGATATGGCTATACATTTAAATGAATATATCATTTAATGTCACGTAATTGTCACATAAACTGGTGCTTATCATTAATGGGGATGAATAACATTATTTGTTCAGAAAAAGGAATAAATGGGCAAAAAATTTCACGTGGCGCATGACAAAAAAATCCATGTGGGCAATCCTCTTCACAATCTGCAGCTAAATAGGCTTGTTTATTACTATCTCTCCATATTTCAAACCACAAAGCTCGACAGAATCCACATCGACGAAGCTTCCATTGCATTCTATCGCCCCCAAATTCATAGCCATCCAACTGAAGAGTTGTAGTTGTCAAGGGTCTGGTTAAGAAAGATTCTATATATGAATTTTTGATCGGCATGTGTACCCGTTCTCGTTTTTTGAGAAATAATCGTGGAAGAAAGAATCAATATCAATAATCATAATCATCGAATCCAGAAGATAAAAGTAATTGGATCTTAAAAAAATGTAGACATACGAAGAGAAATCGATAGTTGCGCGGCGGCCTTGTTGATGATGTATTAAGCATTTTCAATCACACAAAGCATGCCGACTATGATTTCCAAAGTCAGCACCCCTACAAGCCGTATCATCACACCTAAAAGTTCTTCACTATGACATACGATTTTCCATCCACCATATGGATTTTTTGTCCACGGGGAGGGATGGAAATGGTATAAGTGATGGATGAATAACTTTGTTTAAATTTGAACAAGCAACTAGTAGTTTTTAGCAAATAGTTACTTATAGTAAAGTTGAGTGAGCCTAATTAGGTTATTGGCCAAGCCCATGTCTGCAGCGTATTTTTAAACAGCATATCTTAATAAGCTGCCGTCCCCCACCCCTCCAACCCCCCAATCAAAGTTT